ATATGATATAGGAAATGTCGAGGCGTACGGCCCGATCTAACATAAATATTTAAACTGTGCACTGTCGAGGGTCTAACGGCTCGAACCATAGATACATCTATTAAACTGTCGAGACGAACGGCCTGCTCCCTTCAGAGTGTGGTACATAAATCCTGTCGAGGAGAATGGCCCGATCCCATAAGAGTGAAATACAAATTCCTGCCGAGGCAAAACGACCCAATCCCATAATTACTGAAATACACAATCCTACCGAGGCGAACGGCCCGATCCTATTAGAATAAGAAGCATTGACGTGTCCTTGACCCCACTCACGAATAAATGTGTGAGTTGTAATTTCTTTAACATAAACCTTTCAATGAAGTATATATATATATATATCACAGAAACATGCCGTAGGAGGAGTAAAGTTATTCGGTGACTAATCGTGAAATCATGAAGTATCTACAATAGCAAGTCTAGTCTCAAGTAGAAAGGTAAAATAAGGAATTAAACAATCAAGGATAATCCCTATAGTACAAGTACAGCATGGTATGAACCTAAGTCTACCCAGATAATAACATGAATCTAACTACGTACGGACTCTCGTCATCTCGTGCGTACGTAGTCCCCGTAAAAATTTGTACACATCAAATATACCACCTAGGGTACTTTCCCCCTCACAAAGTTAGAAAGGAGACTTACCTCACTCCGACGTTCCAAAATCGGCTCCAACACTGCCCTAACACCTCCAACCGGTGACCGGCGATCCAAAACTAGTCAAATAAGATGCAACCCAATCAAAATATACTCTAACACTCATATTAATCATTTTATAATAATTTCTAACTAGGCTCGAACAATCAATAAAGCAACCCTCGGGCCCACGTGCCAAATGCACCTCGCTCCTGCGCTCTACTCCGCTTCTGGGCTCCAAGAGGCCGCATTTGCGCCATCGTAGATGCGTAAGATGTCTCGCACCTGCGGGCACTACCAAGCCCACCCAAAATCACTTCTGCAACCCTCCTGAACGCTTCTTCGGTGCCGCACCTGCGGCCAAAACCTCACAGGTGCGGTTACACCAGAAACCAGTTGCCTTAGCATTTTCCTTAGTCCAAAAATCGATCTGTTAAGCATCTGAAACTCACCTGAGGCCCCCGTCAAATCACACAAAATAGTCCAATAACATAACACAGACCTGCTCGAGGCCTCAAATCACATCAAACAACATCGAAATCATGAATGGCACCCCAATTCAAGCTTAAAGAACTTTAAAACTTTAAACTTCTATATTCGATGCCGAAACCTACCAAATCACGTCCGATTGACCTCAAATTTTGCACACAAGTCACATTCGACATTACAGACCTACTCCAACTTTCGGAATTAAAATCTAACCCCGATATCAAAAAGTCCACTCCCGGTCAAACTTTTTAAAATTATCCAAATTTCCAACTTTCGCCCAAATGACCCCAAAATGACCTACGGACCTCCAAATCCACTTCCAGACACGCTCCTAAGACCGGAATCTTTATACGGAGCTATTCCCAGACTCGGAATCCCAACGGATGTCGATATCATCGAAATGCACTTCAACTCAAATTTATGTAATTCTTCCAAAATGCCAACTTCCATAATAGGCACTGAAATGCTCTCGGGTCATCCAAGACCTGCTCCGGACATATGTCCAAGTCCAAAATCATCATAAAAACCTGTGGAAATCTTCAAATCCCAATTTTGAGGTCGTTTACTAAAAAATCAAACCTGAGTCAACTCCTCCAACTTAAAGCTTCTGAAATTAGAATTTTCTCTCCAAATCAATGTTGAACTTCCCGAATTTCAATTTTGACCACACGTACAAGTCATAATACCCGAAGTGAAGATATTCAAGGCCTCAAACCATCGAATGATGTGCTAGAGCTCAAAACGGCTGATTGGGTCATTACAAGTGTTCAACTTTGGACCCTTCCATTGGCATCTGAATTTTTATCTCTGCACACTGCTCCTGGCTACTATCCATAATATTAACATGTTGAGCATCAAAATCTTCAACTAGATGACTCACTTGAGCCTCCAAGTTGCAAATAGTTGCATCTTGCCTTTGTATCCGCACTTCTGTCTCATCATGTTTTTCCACAAGGAACCTTAGCATATCCTTGATCTCTTTCAGGTCGTCATCCCCGGGTTCTTTGTTCCTATTAACCTCACAAGAAAAAGTAGAACCATCATAGTAAGAGGTTGGGGGAGGATAAGAAATATAAGCACAACCATGAAAGTGACCATCTTGACCACCACACCTATCACACACATTCCACACATAAGATTGAGTTGGTGCACATAACTCTCTCTCGGAAATATTTTAACAATTTTGCGACAAGTGGTTTCCTCCACAATATACACAAGGAAGATCAATAGTAGAATTACCAACATCAAAACTCCCATAATTCCACCATGCCATGTTTCTCAAATCAACAAGTAAAACTAAAAAAAATCAAATACTAGAAAATAAAATAAAAGTTCAGTAAACCCTAGTTTAACCAAATGCTCTCTTCTCTATCATGCAAAACCCTAAGTTGAAGGCCTAAACCCCACCGTTCATGGCTGCTCAGGCCACTGGCCAGCCTCCTTCCGAGGTTGTGCAGTCGTCCACAAACCTTAAGCAGCCTTCCCAAACACCTACAAACCCTACTTTGATCCCTAACTATGCAAAAATCTTACAGCCTCAAACATTAAATGCCCACATGCACGTAGCCGCTATAAATCTGAAGCCAGTTAAATACTTACATGGAGAACAAATAGTGCGATGGAAAAAAAATAGAAGTTAAACAATCAATAATGCAACAAGGATTACATCTTGCAGTTCTGGGCAAGTTTTCCTATGGAAAACCAGTAATACAAGAGTTAAGGAAGGTTATCCCAATTCAATGTGAATTAAAAGGCCCATGCTCAGTAGGTTTGATTTAGGATACTCATGTTTTGATCAAGCTGTCATTAATGGAGGATTACATTCACTTGGTATCCAAGCCGGCGTTTTATTTGAAGGCACAAGGTGATTTTTGGCAGATACTAAATGGAGTCCATGGTGGAAACTTGATGAGGAAACTCCCATTGCAATTGCTTGGATATCGTTTCTAGACCTTTCTCCCAATTTTTTTGGTAAGGACTTCATGCTTTCATTAGCTAGTGTAGTTGGTAGGCCTCTTTATATTGATTTCACCACTCAAAATGGCACAAGACCTAGTTGTGCAAAGGTCAAAGTAGAGGTGAATTTGTTAGCAACACTTCCTAAAAGGATTAAGATCATTGAAGAGGGGGATGAAACTGGTCCTGAGGAATATAAATGGGTGAAGATCAAGTACAACTACATGCCTAAATATTGTAAAACCTGCAAGAAACAGGGCCATAATGAAAGTGAATGCTGGGTGATTCATCCAGAGCTTCACAAAAATTTAATGAAGAAGGTGATCAAGGTATGGAGAAGAATATTATTGTGCAAAGTGATGTTGTTGGAACAACTACAGCTTCTACGAAGGTCCTAACAAGTGGAAAACTTCTGGGCAAGCCAGTGCCAAATGCTACAAAGAATGAATGGATGCAAAGGAGGAAGAATAAATATCAAAGGGATAGTAGGGGTTATATAATTGAAGAGGCTGTGAATGGAGATATTACGAACGCTCAAGAGTTAAAAGAGATGAAAGTCAAGGAGTTAAATGCAAAATATGATGATGTTAGGAAGGAAAAAGCTAATGCCCTAGTGCAAACTAGTAATAGTTTTGCATTGTTAGAAGAAGGTGAGATTGAAATTCAAAAACAAATAAAGAAGGAAGCTGTGGAAAAGGTGTTAAACAAGGAGAAGGTTGAGGCAAAAGAGGTGAATTCTACCTCCACAAGGAAAGGTACTCCAAAAAAGATAGGAGTTCAAAATCTGGCAAAGCAAATTCCTAGTCCTAGTGATGTTGGGATTGAGATTGATGAGACAGAAAAAAAGAAATTCACAATTGAGTGGGTTCATAGGAGATTTGGTACAAGTAAGGAGGAACTGAGAGAGATGAATGTTACATTGAATCATTCTTGCCCATCGCAAACTTTGGATGATTCAAAGGAGAATGAAATTAATACCGAGGTCAGTTCTGATCGAAGGCTATGGAGTGATGAAGCCGAGATCATGGAGTTTGAAAATATGACAATGAGTGAGAAAGAAGCATCAACTGTAATAGTTGGAGGAGCCTCAGCTAAGAAGAGAGCCACTGGAACAGGAACTCCCAGAGAAACTATCCACAATGTTGATCAGTCTGGAGTGATTCCGGTGGAGATTTTGGAGTAGGAAAAGGTTGACAAGGTAGATTTTAATGTTTCTAATGATACAGTAATGACAAATCAACAAACAGTTCAAAGAAAGACTACTGAACTCAATGGAACAGTAAAATCTAGGCAGCTGGCTACAGTGATTCCTGGAAATTCAAATCTGGGAGATGTGTATACACTGCAATTCAAAGCAATTTAGGAGGCTGCGAGGAAAAAAGAGTTAAATGCTGGGGTATTAAAGGAAGCTACAGATAGGGCTTATGATCAAGTTGAGTTGTATGTCAATACAGGGAGTTCTGAAACTTGACATAGCAATAATGCCATTCAAATTGCAGCACCTATAACTGAGGATCCGGGACTGTTAGCTGGGAAAACATTTAGTGTCACCAATGGCATACTGGCAAAGGGAGTACTCATTAACAACAGGGGTCAAAAGGAGCGTGGAATGGTTGCCAAAAACCATGAACCAAACCTGTTAGCTCTTCAAGTGATAGGTGATGACAATGAAGATCAAGATGAATTAGGTGAAGATATTGAGGAAGATTCAACAGTTGCAAATCTTCAATAAGTAGTAAGAGATAGGGATATATCACCTAAAAGTGTGGAAAGGAAGAAGTCAACTGGAAAGCCTGCAAGGAAACATAAGAAAGACATCAAGGATAGTGTACCTCAAAGGGTGCAACCAAAGAGGGCAGTGATCTCTACTTCCAAATAATCATATGGATAATGCTCTTGTTTGGAATGCGAGGTCGATTAACACACAAAAAGCTTTCAATAGGTTGATTAACCTACATAGAAAGTACAACTTCTATTTGATAGGTTTGATGGAACCTTGGCAAGATATCAATAAGCTTGAGGAGTATAGAAGGAAGTTGGGGATTCAGTCTGCTTATGCTAATATGAATGGCAAAATATGGGCTTTTGTGGATGAAGATATAGATGTTGACATTGTGATGAACATGGAACAACAAATGACACTTAAGTTGTTTCACAGAAATCTAAACAAGGAATTATATGTGACATTAGTCTATGCTAAATGTGATGCCACAGAAAGAATTGAACTGTGGAATTCAATGTATCATTTAGCCTCAGATATGAAATCTCCTTGGCTTGTTGGAGGAGATTTCAATGTGATTTTATTAGAGGAGGAGAAATATAGAGGACTACATGTTTATCTAAGTGAAGTAGAGGACTTTTCTCATTTTGTGGATACATGTGCATTATATGACCTAGGTTTCAAGGGGATTTTGTACACTTGGTGGAATGGTAGATCTGATATTGACTGCATATTTAAGAGGCTTGATAGATACTTTGCAAATCAACAATTCCTTGACCTGTTCCCAGCACTTGAAGTACAACACCTGATCAAGTATGGTTCTGACCATGCTCCCCTCCTACTTTCCTGTAACAATGATACAGTACATATTAAGAAACCATTCAAGTTTCTTAATTTTTGGGCTAAGCATGAAACCTTTCAAAAGATGGTAAAGGAGAATTGGGTGGCTGAAGACATGGGAAATCCATTCATTCTATTTCACAACAAGTTGAAGAAAGTGAAGGCAACTTTGGCAGTGTGGAGTAAGGAGACATTTGGAGACATATTTGAGCAAATTGCATCACTGGAGGATGTCATTAAAGTGCATGAGGCGGAGTTTGAACTGAATCCAACAGCACAAAATAGAGCTAAATTACACAAGGTTGAGGCTGATCTTACAAGATACTATCAACTTGAGGAGGAATTTTGGAGACAAAAGGCAGGAATACAGTGGTTTAAAGATGGAGATAGAAATTCAAAATTCTTTCATGCTCATGTCAGAGGGAAAAGGAAAATACTGCAGGTCAATATAATACTGGATGATAATGGTAATTGGATAGAGTCACAAGAAGGAATGGAAAAGGAAGCAGTTGATTTATTTCAAGCACAGTTTACTGAACAAAGAATTCCAACAAACTTTGACATTATACAGCATGTTCCAAAGATGATCACTGAAAAGCAAAATGAAAGGTTGTGGGCTGAACCTACAATGGAGGAAGTCAAGGAAGCAATATTTGGATTAAATGGAGATAGTGCCAGTAGTCCAGATGGATTCACTGGCCATTTTTATCAAGTTAGCTAGGAAATAATATGTGGATATATACTCAATATGGTCAAGGCTTTCTTTTGTAGTGCTGACCTTCCAAAATTCATCACTCACACAAATCTACTATTGCTGCCCAAGAAGAAGATTGTATCTACATTTTCAGACATGAGGCCAATTAGTTTGAGTAATTTTTCAAACAAAATCATATCCAGAGTTGTTCATGAGAGATTAGTAGATCTACTGCCTTCTTTAATATCTCCCAATCAGGCTGGTTTTATCAAAGGAAGGAGCATTGTGGAGAATATTTTATTAACTCAAGAGATCATAACTGACATTAGATTGAGAGGGAAGCCATCCAATGTTGTTATCAAATTGGACATGGCAAAGGCATATGATAGAGTCTCATGGCTGGTTTTGACAAAGGTCCTAAGGCAAATGGGGTTTGGAGAGGTGTTCACTGACATGATCTTTAGGCTAGTGTCAAACAATTGGTACTTTGTTCTCTTGAATGGGCAAGCCAATGGTTTCTTCAAATCATCAAGGGATGTAAAGCAAGGAGATCTTCTTTCTCTTTCGTTATTCATTCTAGCAGCTGAAGTACTTGGAAGGGCCTTGGATGCCTTGTTTGACAATCCTAACTTCATAGGATTTGGTATGCCAAAGTGGAGTCAAAACATCAACTATTTATCATATGCAGATGACACAATTATTTTTTGTTCTTCTCATTATGGGGCAGTGCATCTTACCATGAAAGTATTAGAGGAATATGGGGCTGCTTCAGGTCAGAAGATCAATAAGGAAAAGTCTTCTTTTTTTATGCATTAAGGAGTGCCTGCAGAAGAGGCAAACACAGTCCATTTGATCACAGAACTTCAAAGAAATGCCTTCTCATTCACATATATGGGATGCCCTATATGATACAGCAGGAGGAAGAAAGAGTTATATAAAGGCATCCTCTTCAAAGTTTAGGAGAGGCTATCATCATGGAAAGGTAAATTATTATCAATAGGTGGCAGGGTAGTTTTGATTTCACATGTACTTGAGAGCATGCCAATTCATCTCTTATCAGCTATAAATCTACCAGTACATGTGATCAATCAGTTACACAAGATGTTTGCTAGGTTCTATTGGAGTAACTCAGGCAATGAAAAGGCTAGACATTGGGCTTCATGGGACAATATGTGTCTGCCTAAAAGAGAAGGAGGTCTTAGTTTCAGATCATTACATGATTTGTCGAAGGCATTGTTTGCTAAGCTGTGGTGGACCTACGGGACAAAAGATACACTATGGTCTACATTTTTGTGGAATAAGTACTGCAAGAAGATTAATGAGATGCTAGTTCCTTGGAGAAATGGATCCCAGGTTTGGAAGAAAATGACACAAATGAGAGAGGAGTTGGAATATCAAGTGTGGTGGCAATTGAAGAATGGAAGCTCCTATTTCTGGTATGATAATTGGACTGGACTTGGTGCTCTGTACCATACTTCAGGTACAGTTCATTGGTGTGATGAATCCATAAAATATGTGGATGAGGTAATGGAGAATGGGACATGGAATGAAGTGTTGTTGAGGGAGCTATTGCCTGAGGAGATAGCTGAACATATCTTAGAAAAGATAGCACCTCCTGCACACCAATCAATGAAGGATAAGCCCTGGTGGAAGCTAGAAACGAATGGTCAATTTATAGTGAAGTCGGCTTGGCATTACATAAGGAAGAGAAGAGATGAGAGAAAGTTATATAAGTTCATGTGGGCGAAGGGACTGCCTTACAAAGTTAGCTTCTTCATGTGGAGATTATGGAAAGCAAAGCTACCTTTAGATGATTGGTTCCAAAGACTGGGGTACATTAGAACTTAAAGATGTTGGTGTTGTAGACATCCTAAAGAAGAAACATTACCTCATGTCTTCTTGACATCACCAGCTGCTAGGTTTGTGTGGAATTATTTTGGTACACCTGTTGGGATCAAAACACAAGGTAAGCAGTTGGTACAATTGATAAATGAATGGTGGAACAAAGCAGGAAATACAAGTTTGAAGGCAGTATATCAAGCAATGCCAAGCTTGATTGTCTGGCACATGTGGAAAAGGATGAATTCTGGAAAGCATGGGAAAACTGTATCTTTTTATAGACTGATTTATTAGATTTCAAACTCCATACAAATGCTACTGAAGGTAAGGAGACCAGGCATCAAGGGTGTCACAACAAATTGGACTGACTTACATGAGAACTTAGCCAACCATGTTCCAAAACTGAGATATACAAAGGTTATGTGGCAATTACCTCATATGGGTTGGATAAAATGCAATACGGATGGGGCTTGTAGAGGAGACAATAGAGGAGCTTCATATGGTTTTTGTATAAGGGATGGAATAGGGGACCTCATCTATGCTCAAGCAAATGTAGTAAAAGAAGCAACAAACAATATAGCTGAGGCACGGGCAATTCTGGAGGCCCTAAGGTACATTGTTCAAATGCCATTCCCTGCATGTATAATTGAAACTGATTCATTGCTTATGAATAATGTGCTGGATGAAACTTGGGAAACACCTTGGAGCATAGCAAACAAGGTAGATTAAATCAAATCCTTATTGTCTAGGGGTGTATTCCAGCTAACTCATGTACTGAGGGAAGGAAATAAGTTAGCTGATCATCTAGCAAAATTGACCTTGGATCAGCAACATATACAACAGGTAAACTCATTTGGGTAACTAGACACACAAGGGAGGAAGATACTAAACAATGATAAACTCCAAATACCATTCTTGAGGGTAAGAGTTGCCAAGCCAAACGCTAATTTATGAAGGAACTAATTAACATGGGAAGTGAAGGGGAGATCATAATAAAGAAGAGGAGGAGGAGAAAGTATTATGGAGGGATGAGGCAAAAGATAGGGGAAGGATAAAACAAGACATTTCCAACTCAAATCTTAAGGGAAGAGAGGAGGAAGGATTTTTTTCTCTAACATGTTTTTTATTCTTGCATGTAACTTGGAGGGGGTGTGGCTCTATGTTTTAACCAAAACTAGTAGGGTGGTATTAGTATCTTTGATACTAAACCCCTATAGGTGTAATCACTACATAGGGCAGCCCGTTTATTATATCAAAAATGCAAAGACAAGGCAGTGCACAAGCCTATGTTACATGATTCATTGCCATACTCAGTATGGAGGACACGGGAAGAGATATATAAGGGAATGCATATCCCTCTACATCTACCACTTACTGAGGATCACACAAAATTCAAAACACACAGCCCATCAAGTCTCAAGTGCCAGTGCTATGCGCAAGGATTGTCTATTGCCTATATTAGGTACGTTTGACCATGATTTTGTACAGCTTTGGGCGGGCAATTTCAGAGATTTTTGGAGGAGCTCCCATGTATATGATGCATATATTACACATAAGGAACCTACATATAACAGGTTTGGTACAATTTTATACAGGTATGATCATGCGTTTTTGCGACAAAGTCGCAACAACGCCCATCCTGCTTTGAATTGGACAGGTATTGTAGGATGCATTTCGTGAAAATTTGGAAACATGCTGTCATATTCAAGCGTAGATACCAGTTATAGACATCACATGACGACCCCAGTTGACCAAGACATCATGTGTAATTACTTAGATTCAAACGAAGCGAATGCAGTGTTGGCAAAGATATGTTGCAAGTTGAAGTCAGTTAGATTGATTCAAGATTTATGGTTATTAGATCATTTTATACTATCAAAGGATTGTATCACACAAGACTTTGATAATAGGTTTCATGTACGGTCATATTTTACGCACTTATATTTTGTAAGACCTCCAGACACTTGTTGTTTTATTCTGGATTAACTTAATAAAAAGGCCACTAGGCAACCAACCTAGTGGTATATTAGCCAAAAAAAAGTTCAAACTTGAAACCTAGCAATATGTACAGCTATAACTACACCGTTAGTTCCCCGGCAACGGCGCCAAAATTTGATCACGCCCAACTCTAGTCCTAAAAAGGATAAGCGGTCGTTGCAAATATAATCCGGTCTAAGAGTCCAAAGTCGAATCCTACAGAGAACTACGGCTTAGTTACAACTGTTTAATATCACTAAGTAGACAAGCTCGAACAATTTCTAAGTTATAAAGAATGTGATTTTTTTATTCTAAACTAATTAACTAACAAATCTAAAAAGCAATAAAACTATCAATTAACAAGGATAAGGGTTGGAGACAAGATTAAGGAGGTCTTGAGTTATGATTTTCCAATTGTCGGAATCCTCCCCGCTATGCCTCCTATAATTTTGCCTAAGTATTCTCTACCGATCGTGAGTACTTTGGTTGTCGTAATTCTCTCTCAAGCAACTACCACAATTTATTAGATGTATTCTCTCGAACTACACTAGCTGGCACTAATTCACAGCTCACTACGATCGCACCAAGGTTTCGTTATCTATAATCCCGCCTTTAAACTCTCTGTATTTTTCTGTCACATATGTTAGGAGTGATGTTGTTTAACAAATACCTTAATGCATACTCTCTCTCGAACAGTACACACTAAATAGGCACAGTTAATTAATGGTCATTCAATCTACATCAACAAATGCGTAGTTGAACAAGTAGAGAAATTCAACGGCTCGATTATATAAAAGCATAACAAGAATTCATCCTCCAAAAGGTTCTATCAAAACCCTAGATAACAAATTAGCTATTTATAATAGTATGCAAAATTACAATACTAGAATTCATAACCAATAATGGAAATGGAGGAAGAAAGAGGGAAAACGTGAAGTTGAATCCTTCTCCTTCTTGCTCCTAGCATGTTCTTGCTTCCCCAAAGTCTTCTCTCCTTCCAAAGTAGTGTCTCTCTTCAAAATTATGTTTTAGGATGTATTTATAGCGACTAGGGTTTATATGGGGTGGATTTTCCTTCTCCTATTTCAGATTGGAAAATCTAATTTTTTCTGCTCCGGTCCCGGTCTGGCGAAGTGAACCTCGCTTCGCTGTCCGAAAATTTTATGGTTTCTTCTGCTCCAGTCCCGGTCTGGCGAAGTGAACCTCGCTTCGTTGTCTGGGACTTTTCTCTTCAGCTCTTTTTTCACCAATTTTTCTTCTATTTGATCCTTTTTCACATAAGTTTGTTCCTACACATAAGAAGCACGTAATTAGCATATTTTCACTTCAAAAGTGGTGTGAACTCCCGCAACTCAACTCACACAAGAATTAACACACAAACACACTCAAAACATGCACTTTTCATCCTTTATAACTAAGCGTCAAAGAATCGACACAATTGCCTAGAGTTTTAGAGAAATATTGGATATCAATTAACCGTTTGGTAGAAAAGTAATAGTTAGGAGATGATTTCTTTCATGTACTATCAGTAGTTCCAAAATCGACGAAAGCAGAGACTGTAAAAGCTAGCTTGCCAAAATTATACTTATGGCCTCAAATGAAAAAGATTCAAATGACAAGAAATATAAAAGTAAGAACATATCCAACATTCAGTGACTTATTTCTTCCAGTCAAAAATGAAGAAGAGCACCCAATAAAAAATAATTTGGTTCTTCCAGAATACTTGGTTATCAACCCCAAGGGTAATAGTAGTGCATTTAATAAGAAAAATATTTTCATCATTAGATTAAAACGCAATTTTTGCAAATTAAATTATAGAAATTAAAGAGCTAACTTAGCTAGCAAAAATGAATATGTTGATCAACTAAATAAAAGGTTGATTTCTAAGTTTTATGGTAAAAATAAAATATTTTTTAGTTTTGACTCAAAGAAGATGATTAATACCAACAATTACTACCAATAAGAATACTTAAATACTTTAATATCAAATGGCCTTCTACCACATCCAGATTTGTTGTTAAGTTTATTATTTCTTACGTATGTTAGTGTCACCGTATATATAATAGACTAAGTTAAAATTGATATTCTATTGCATATAGGTTGATTTTGAAGAAACATATGCCCGTCATGCTACTGAAAAACTTAGATCCGCCGAATAGCTTATGTAATAATACACAGTTAGTATATAGAAGTTTTTGACAATAAAGTCATACATGCAGAAATTATGATACTGGTCAATGTGCTTCTAAGTATGTGTTTATCCCCGAAATCAACTTTCGCCTTCCAAAACTAAAGAATATCCTTTTAAATTTGTGTAAAAATAATTTTTAATATGTTTATGTTTTGTAATTATAATAAATAAAGCACAAGGACAAGCATCCTAAATATTGAACTATATTTACAATAATATATTTTCTTACACGAATAACTATATGTTGGACTTTTAAGAGGAATATTAATATCGACAACAAGAGTTCTGGTTATGGAAGAACAACCAAAGCATTATAAGAAAACATGCACAAAAAATATCGTCTACAAAGAAGTGTTCGGTAAGATACCATCATATTAGATACCTTTGTCCCACGATACATAATTATCTAATTAACATGACTAAATTGATCATTTTTGTAAGTTCTGATGATGTCCTTTCATTTTGAATTCATATAATATGCTAATGTAATAATATTTTTTGACATTTAGATGATTGTTGTATTATTATATATATAATTTCTCTTATTAATTAATTTTTTTCTTCCTTCATATAAATAAATATTTAAACCATCATGTGTCATTATTAACGTGCAACGCACGTTTATATATACTAGTAGGAATCAATATGAAAAAGAAGGAATATCAAACTAGAGGAATGCATATTCTTACTGCAACTTTTACTCTCCNAACCCCAAATCCGCACCCATACTGAGTGACCTTCTTTCACAAGACCATGATATCTCAAAACCTACGAACCACATCATACCCTCCTTGGGCGCACAATAGCATCGCCAACGGGTACACCCGTTCTGCAAGACCTTCCGCAAATCCGAAGCTACTTCTTTCCTTCCTCCAATACTGCACCGCATACCCAATGATGACATAAAACGTTCCAAGTCTCTTTCATACTCCACTTTAACAGATCGATACTTAGCTATACTATGGAGCAAATCCTTAGACTCTGCACTTTAACTTTGAATCCCCTAGGACCGTTGTTAAGAGCCACCCACTCTGACTTGGTCCCGAATATAATCAACTCCAAGGCTCTGTTAGCACATGAATGCCCTCTTAAAGAAGCACCCGGCTGAATCACCTCTCTTGTACATTACATCTACACAAAGCATAAATCTTGAGTCTTCCCAAAGCCTGAACATGTATTGATAAGGCCAATTATAGCACACATTCCTCAAATCCTTTGCTCAAATCACCACTGATGTTCTCTTTCCTTAGCCATAATAACCCACCAATATGCCGATAACCAGAAACCTCCTAAGTAAACAGCCATGCAATCCAGTCGTAGGCGGTGGGGCTCTCCCACTTAGCTTGAAGCTACAATCACATAGACCTGGAGCCCACCAAGATTCCTTCTTCCTTATTGACAAAATCTAAAGGTGTGACAGTACCTTCCAATCCAAAGTCATGTTGTATCCCTTCTTCATACCAACCATCCCCTTTTTCGTCATATCCAACCTTCCTCCGTATAGTGGCCAATATTTCAAAATTAATGTCGTAGACTTAGTCACTGTTCACCATGAACCCCA